TACCTCCAGCAGCTCCAGAAGCTCCAGGCCCAGAGCCGACACCTCGAGTCCCAGGGTCTCCAACCTCTGTGTCTCCAGCAGCAGCACCCCCAGAACCAGCACCTCCAGTCCCAGGGTCTCCAACCGCAGGGTCTCCAGCAGTAGCACCCCCAGAACCAGCACCTCCAGCTCCAGGGTCTCCAACCTCAGCGTCTCCAGCAGCAGCACCCCCAGAGCCAGCACCTCCAGTCCCAGGGTCTCCAGCCTCAGTGTCTCCAGCACGAGCCCCTCCAGAACCAGCAACTCCAGCACCTCCAGTAGACAAAGGACCAGCACGACTCCGAGCTCCAGCAGCGCGACGCTGACGGCGACCGTACCAGTCCTGCAGCTGCTGTGGGGTGAGAGGCACACGGGGACGAAGGCGGCCACTCCAAGGAGACCGCGCAACAGCAGACTCAGAACCCTCAGCGCCCGCACCCCCAACGGCTCCAGAACCTCCGGTGTCAGTACCCTCAGCACCAGTACCTCCAGCGACTCCAGAACCTCCAGCGCGAGCACCCTCAACAGCTCCAGGACCTCCAGCTCCAGCGCCACCAGGACTAGGCCCTCCAGCAGCTCCTGAACCTCCAGCGCCAGCACCCTCAGTAGCTCCAGAACCTCCAGCGTCAGTACCGCCAAGCTCAGCACCCCCAGACCCCTCACACGCAGGCTCAGCACCACCAGGCTCTACACCCTCAAGCTCCGCACCCTCAGGCTCAGTACCCCCAGACTCAGCACCCCCAGGCTCCGCACCCCCAGGCTCAGCACCCTGAGCAGGACCACTCGCAGGAGGACCTGAGTCACCAGTGACCTCAACCGGCGCAGTCAAGGGAGGAGGGTCTACCTGAGAAACACCTGAAGGAGCAGGACCGGGAGCGGGGAGGGGGTCTACCTGGGGAGCACCTGGAGCAAGGAAGAGCGGCGGGGGGGGGAGCGAGGCAGTGCGGTAGGGGAAGAGACGGTAAAAGGGAACCGACTCGTCGAACGTGACGTCCTGAGACGCAAAGACACGGTGCGAGGTGGGGTGGTAAAACTGCCAACCAGGCGCGTCAGGGACAAAGCCAAGGAAGACACAGGGAACAGCGCGGGCGGAGAGCTTGTCCGCGGTGGTATCGCGGACAAAGGCACGAGCACCCCAGACCCGGAAACGCGACGCATCGCCAACCTTCCCCGTCCACAGCAGTGTGGGCGAGGTCTCCGGCAAGGAGACACGGGGCCAGAGGTTGAGCTGATGCGCGGCGTACCGGACCGCAAACGGCCACAGAAAATGGGGGGCAGCCGCATGGATCATGGAGGTACGAGCGACCTCCATGACTAAGCCAATGCGGCGCTCAGCAACCCCATTCTGCTGCGGAGAGGCCGGAAGCGTGAACGACTGGGTGATGCCGTGCTCCGCACAGTAGGCTGCCAAGAGGTCGGAGGAGAACTCACCACCTCTGTCAGAGTGCAGACGCAGGACAGGAAAGTCCGACCGGAACCGCTCGCGGAGCTGGAGACGAACAGCGCGGATCCAGGGGATCAAAACAGCAGGGACGTCCCCCTTGCTCTGCAAGGGGAAGACCGTGGTGTAACGCGTGTAGTCGTCGACGACCAGCAGGAAGTACCGCTCGCGGCCCTGTCCCTGGACGCGGGCTGGGCCCCACACGTCCAGGTGGAGCGTCTGCAGTGGAGCCTCTGTGGGAGGAAACGAGGAGGAGTGAGGAGCGGCGCGCTGCCGCCCCTCGACGCAAGGAATGCAGGGCGGCGCAGGCGAGGGAGGGAGGGCAGGCAGGGACCTGGGAAGACCAGAGACCAGGGAGCGAGAGTGCATGCTACGCAGGCGAGGCAAGGAGGGGTGACCAAGGCGGTGGTGCCACAGGAGAGTGTCGTGCGACAAAGCGCGACACTCGCAGGGGGCCGCCAGCTGACCAGACGCAGACGCAAACGCAGACGCAGCTACCTGAGGGGACTCAGTGGTCAGTGTGTACAGACTCGAGCCAGGTGCACGGGTGAACGTGGCCAAGTGCCGGCCCGTCCTAGCACACGTACAGTGAGTCACTCGCTGACTCGCAGGAGTGAACTGGTGAACCCCCCCATCCTGGAGGTCAGCTCCACTCACCAAGTTCGTAGAGAACGAGGGGAGGTAAAGACCTGACAGCGAGCCGGACGGGACGGCCGGATAAGGCAGAACCGTGGAATAGTGGGCAAGGACTGGACCCCCAGAGGGGTCCGCCAGGGAGACCGGGACTGGCCGACGGAGCGGCGTGAGTGCGGTGCAGTCGCGAAAGAAGGAGCGGGAAGCTCCTGAGTCAAGGGTGAAGGTGTGCGAGACCGCAGTGGGCGCAGTACCAGAGAGAGCAGACACAGCAGCACCTGATGCCACGGCCTCACCAGTACCTAGAGCAGTAGACGTACTAGCACCGAGAGCAGCAGCCTCACCAGCACCTAGAGCAGGAGACGCACTAGCACCTAGGGCAGCAGCCTCACCAGGGTCAGGCGGTACGCACAGGCAACAGGCACGGTCAGCACTAGTAGACAATGCATACATGGCAGTGAGAATAGCATCATAGTCAAGCGCAAAGATATCTACCCTCTGTCTATGCAGCTCCAGCCAGGTGGGGAGCTCAGCCTCGTCGCCAAACACTGTGCGCCAGTCGTCGCTCAGACGGGCGAAGCAGCGGGACTGTGTGTGACCAAGCGTCCCACAAGGCTGACCAGTCCTAGCACCTGTGCGAATGACGTACGGGCAGCGGACTGTACGCGTAGACCTGCTACACTGAGCGTACCACTCCTGGAGCTGCCGGGGCGTAAGTGTCTCACGTGGACGTCCCTGCAGCTGCAGCTGGCCACTGCCAGACGCTCCCAACTGACCAGCTCCAGGGCGACAGCTACGACGGCTACCGCGACAACCCCAGCTAGTATACCACTCACTAAGCTGCTGAGGCGTCAGAGGCTCGCGTGAATGTCGCTGGAGCTGCATCTGGCCACCTGCCAGTAGCAGTAGCGCAGGCAAGGCAGGCGCGGCAGGCAGGCAAGCAAGCAGGCAGGCAGGCAGGCAGGCAGGCCGGCAGGTAGGCAGGCAGCCAGGCAGGCAGGCAGGCAGGCAGACAGGCAGGCAGGTAGGCAGGCAGGCAGGCAGGCAAGTAGACACGCAGGCAGACAGGCAGGCAGGCAGGCAGGCCGGCAGGCAGGCAGGCAGCCAGGCCGGCAGGCAGGCAGGCAGACAGGCAGGCCGTCAGGCAGGCAGGCAGGCGCTCACCAAAGGCTGGGAGAGCAGGGCCGGCGCTCGAGTAGGCGCACGACAGCGGCGACGTCGGGGCCGCAAAACCGGCTGCAGAGCAGGGCCGAAACAGCTGGAGGGCGGGGCCGCGTCAGCGGCAGTAGCAGGGTGGGGCCGCGTCAGCGGCAGGTCGGGGTCGTGGCAGCTGCAGGGCGGGGCCGCATCAGCGGCAGGTCGGGGCCATGGCAGCTGCTGGGCGGGGCCGCATCAGCGGCAGGTCGGGGCCGAGGCAAAGGGCCGCGCGCGGCCGCGCTAGGGAGTAGCGGGCCGCGCGCGGCTCGGCGCGGGCTGTTGCGGGCCGCGCGCGGGCCGTGCGAGGCAGGAGCAGGCCTCGCGCGGCTCGGCACGAGCTGCTGCGGGCCGCGCGCGGGCTGCGCGAGGCCGTAGCAGGCCGCGCGCGGCTCGACGCGGGCTGCGCGGGCTCGGCGCGGGCTGCGCGCGGCAGCTGCGAGCTGCGCGCGGCTCGGTGCGGGCTGCGCGCGGTTGCAGCGGGCTGTGCGCGGCTCGGTGCAGGCTGCGCGCGGCTGCAGCGGGCTGCGCGCGGCTCGGTGCGGGCTGCGCGTGGCTGCAGCGGGCTGCGCGCGACTCGGGGCGGGCTGCGCGATCTCGGTGCGGGCAGCGCGCGGTAGCAGCGTGTGTGCGGGCCCGACAGGCGTGTAGAGGCGGCGCGCGGGCCTTACGGGCCTCTAGGGGCAGCGCGCAGGCAAGGCAAGGCAAGGCAAGGCATACAAGGCAAGGCAAGGCTACGTGGGGTAGCGCGGTAACCGCAGCGGTAGGTGGGCCCGAAAAAAAAAAACGGTCCTACGGACCTTAGTGCTCTGAAACCATGTTAGAATCTAGCAGCAGGAATGGATGAACTAACAGGATGCAGGAGTACAAGTAGTAAACCCTAACTAGGTTGTACCCCATATGGGCTACCCCACTACAGCCTAGATAATATGCAGCACATATAGTTTGACAGATCCCAAATGATTCCGAGCAACAGAACCAACCTGGCTGGACAAAATAGCAGGTAGTAGGTTGGTAAACAACCTCTGGTTCTGTTTTTCAAACCTGGGAAAACAACAACCAGGTTTAGGTTCTAAAAACAGAACCTTTTTTGTCTTTGCCCAACCAACCAAATGCTGGTTCCGCTGGTTTCCCATGGCCCTGTAGCATGCAGATACAGACAAACAACATCCAACCTTTACCTAAATTGTACCCCTATAGTGCCTGCCTTGCTACACTATAGTCAACAAAGCAAAACGGTACAATTTCGAGTTGGATAGAACTGAATCTACGCATCAATTCAACCGAACCACAAAGCTTCCATCTTGGGTTCCTTTGCGAGCTCGTCGTTCTTGCTTGCACTGTTCATAGCGCGTACAATGTTGTGCCGAAGCGTACATTGCGCGAGTACCTGCAAATGCATCAAGCGAAAATTGCGAAAGCAAAGAAATATACGAACATTCCATTCACACCCAAATACATTCGCACACGCATACTCGTACAAACAGACGGCATGATGTCGTGCAATGTGAATTTGCACCCAACACACTTCCCCTCAGCCCGCTGGCTGCATTCCGATCATTCCATGCTAGTTCATGCTCATTCCACTCATGCGCACACAACGCCAATGAGGCTCATCCGCAAGCCTCTTGGTGAGCAAATCAGCTGGCTTCTTGTGACTCTTGATGTAGATCGGATTCACCGTCCCCCTCTTCACCTCCTTACGCAGCCAGTGTCACTTGAGACGCAAGTGCTTGTTCAGCCCATGAAGCACAGCGTTCTTGGCCATCCCAAGAGCCCCCTTGCTATCACAAAACAACGGCGTAGCAACTTTCTGCTCCTGGCGAATCTCGTCTAACAGCCTGCTTGGCCAAAACACCTCCTTGGAACATCGCCATATACTCTAATTCCACGGAAGAGAGTACCGTCTTCGTCTACTTCTTGGACCTCCAACCATTAGGTTCTCCCCCAACTACGAAGATGTATCCTCCCACAGATGAGGAATCATGCTTCTGAGAAGCCCTCGTAGCATTGGTAAAGCAAGTGAGAAACTTCTTGCCTTCTCCAAGTCGCTCCCCCTTCTCTTTCAGCACCTCAACCCCTTTTTGCTTCACCTGTGCAGATGCGGAGTATTGAACTCCAATGCTTGGGTGAGAGTTTAGGTACTTCACCACACGCTCAGCTGCATCCACCTGCTCCTCTGATGGATTCTGCACCACCCTTGCCAGCTGCCCAACCGAGAAAGAGATGTTGGGCCTCGTATGAACCGCTGCATAGATGAAACTGCCTACCAAGGACATTCCTGCTGCTCCTGGGCTTCAACCCCTTCATCTTCTGCAGCCTTCACAAGCTTGAATTCTTCTGGCAGGGGAGCTGCATCCTTGCGCTCATTCTCAATCCCATACTTTTCCCCCAGCTCCTTGATGAACTTCTCCTGGTACAGCTTCAACCTCCTGTCATCTGGATCCCTTTCCACGTGCATCCCGAGGTAGTACTTTACCTTCCGGAGGGTCTTGCACTTGAAGTTTTCCCTCAGCTGCTGCTGCACTTTCTGGATCTCCTTCATGCTGCTGCCAAAAAGAAGAATGTCGTCCACGTGGACCAGAAACAGTACCTGCTCCTCCCCCTCCCCCTTGAGAAAGAGGCTCTCATCACAGCTGCTGCACCTGAATCCCATTTCCTCTAAAACAGCTGCCATCCTCTGGTACCAGCAGCGTAGCGCCTGCTTCAAGCCATAGATATACTTTTCAGCTTGCACACCCTGCCCGTACCATCCTTATACCCAGGCGGCTGCGTCATGAACACCTCCTCCTCTAAAATCCCGTTGAGGAATGCCGTTGATATATCCATCTGAATGATGAATTTTCCACTAACAGCTGCATCTGCCAACAAGACACGGAGGGTAGGAGGTTTGGCAGTGGGAGCAAAGATCTCATTGAAGTCCTGCTTCTCCTTTTGGATAAACCCCTTATCCACCAGCCTACTCTTGTAGATGGTGACCTGCCCCTTGTCATCGGTCTTGATCCTCAGCACTCACTTGCACTGTACAGCTTTCTTCCCCTCAGGCAGCACCACCAAATCCCATGTCCCATTCTCTAGCAGGCTCTGGTACTCAGCATCCCTAGAAGCCAACCACTTTTCCTATTTGGTCTAGCTAGTGCCTCCTCCATGCTAGCTGGTTCCTCTGGTGTAGGGGCAAGAAAACAGTAGGCAGATTTATCCTCATCCGGATCATAGCCATGCGGTAGAATCAGCAATGCCTCCTCATTCCCAAGCTGCTGCTCTGCTACACCAGCTGATGCAGTCAGCTTCATAGTGGCCATACGGGTACGTCCTGGCCTAGAGACGGGTGTCTCCCATCCCTTCATAATGACACCCTTCAGCTTCCTCCTTTGTGGTAGCTTAGGCACCTTAGCTTTGCCCTGCTGCTGCTCTCCTCCCTTATATCTAGCAGCTTCCCCAGTGCTACCACTAGTCTCCACATCATCTCCTCCACCAGCAGGTGCCTCTTGCACCTTCTCTCCATCACCACCCTCTGCAGCTGCCTCCTCTCCCTCCTCCCACACACTAGGAGTCAGGTCCAGCTGCATGGTGATCTGCTCCATCTGCTGGGACACCCGGGCCTCCGGCTGTTTCTCCCAGCTCCCATACATCATGCCCTCAACAAACTTCACATCCCTGCTGTCAAACAGCACACCCTTGGATGGTTCCCACAGTAGCCATCCCTTGCTCTCAGCAGCCAGCCCCAAATGCACACACCAGATTGCACTCGCCCCCAACTTACTGCAGTAGGCCTTAGGGACGTGGGCGACTGCGATACAACCAAACACCCTTAGGATGTCTACCGGCAATTCCTCCCATGTCATTTTTCCAACGGCACCCACGAGTCATCCCCAACCTTGGTGAGCACCCTGTTCCTAGCGACGGTAGCGTGCCGGACATGGGGCTACATGGAGATGCCAAGCCCTGATTCTATAAGCAGCGCCCTAGCTGTCTCTAGAATGGTGCAGCGCTCCTTCAGCTAGACCGTTGGACTGTGGAGTGTACGACGTGGTCAGATCCTTCTGGATGCACTGCTTCTTGAGCCAGGCCGTCATCTCAGCTCCAAGGAACTCACCACCCCGGTCTGTCCTAATCCGCTTCACTACACACTCCGCCTGCTTCTCCACGAATGGCAGCCAATCGTCCTGTATCCTTCTGCTTCAGCGGATACGCCCACATTAGTCTGCTCTTATCATCCACAATGGTCAGGAAATACAGCGCTCCCCTTGTGCCCTTGCACCGGCAGCGGCCCCACCAAGTCCATGTGGACCAGCTCCAAAGGCTTCTTGCTCCTGCCAGCCACACTATGGAAAGGGAAACGGGTGAACTTTGAAAGCAGGCAAATTTCACAGTTCTCATCAGGTGGCTGTCCGTTCAGCTTCAAGCCCTTAACGGCTCCATCTTTCTCCAGCTGCTTCAGCAAAAGCATTGCCACATGCCCCAAGCGTCGGTGTGCCGTTGCCCAATCCGTCTCCCCAGATCTGGCCGACACTTCCAACCCCTCCAACGGCGCTGCACTCCCCCTGGGATGCAGACCCCTCTCTAGCCTGCCCCTTACTGTGTGACGCCAACGCCGGCAGCTGCCACATGGATCTGTACACGTCCTTGCTCTCGTGCAGATCCCAAAGCACCCGATTGCCCAGCTGCCCCTTGTACGTGCGAGCCCCATCCGTGAGGAAGATGAGGTTGGCTTTGAGGTCGGGGACGAGAAGAACGTTGGGCAGCACCACCGGCTTGCCATCCGCTCCCTTAAACGCAGCTCATCCCGCACCAGCCACCTTCCACGCGTGTCTAGAGGCGGAGCACACCTCGTTAATCGGTGCAGCGCGTACGTCGTCCAGCAGGTCCTTGCGCGGCGTCATCGTCCAAGCAGCGCCCGTGTCCAACACTGGTCCAGGGGGTGCAGCTCTGCTCCAACCTTGGCAGAAGCGCCTCCTTGCTCCCCCTGCTCTTCAATATGGAGAAACTGGCCCGCGGTGCTCTCCTTCTTCTTCTCCGCACTGCCGTTGCCCTTCGGGTTGTTGTCGGATGAATCAGCGACCATGTTGGCGCCGTTTTTCTGGTTCCTCCCAGTGTCGCCTTCCTGGTGTCGATTTTGGGGGGTCCATCCATCGGGTTTCTTATAGCACAAAAACCAGGGATGCCCTTCCTTCTCACAATACCAGCGAGTCCCTTTCATTTTGCCACCAGCACCCGTTTTGCCCCCACGTCCAGATTTCGCACCGCGACCCCAACCGGTACCTCTTTGCTGGTTGTTGGAGTCGTCGTCCTTCTTTGCACCACGCCCAGAACCACCAAAGCCACGTCTTCTGCCACGTCGGCTCCCTTGCATCCCGTAGCCACTGCTGCCGTCGTCTCCACCCCTCAGTTGGCGGCGACGAAAGTCCTCCTCCAGAATCTTCGTCCGCACCCACTCGAGCGTCCACGAGCTCTGGTTCTGCGGGAGGCTCAATCCGCTTGTGAATTGAAGCTAGGATTCCGGCAGCAGCGAGAGCATTTTCAAGAACTTGGTTTGCTCCGGGTTGGTGATTCCCGCGAACGGCCGCTTCGCATCACAGCTTAGGCTAGTTGGTGTAAGGACCTAATAAACTCAGGCTATTAAGACTTAATCAAACTTAAAACCTCTTCTCGGGGTCACCTCCAAGGGTCCCTGGGTGCCTGGTACAAGACCAGCCCCTATCATCGGGTCCGAGTTTGTAGAGAGAGGAGTCAAGAATGACTTAGCCAAAATAACGAGAGTACCTTGAACGTCGCGCAGCGTGCCGTGCAGATCATCGATTGGATTAAGCTGAGAATTTGCTATATCAAAGCTCGCTCCAAGAGCTTTAAAATGAGCCAAGTTGTCTCGCGAAAAGTTCTGCCATTACGAAGTTATGGCTCGGACAGCGTTTGCCTAGCGTTGTGTTGGGTGCAAATTTACATTGCACGACATCCTGCCGTCTGTTTGTACGAGTATGCGTGTGCGAATGCATTTGGGTGTGAATGGAATGTTCGTGTGTTTGTTTGCTTTCGCAATTTTCGCTTGATGCATTTGCAGGTACTCGCGCAATGTGCGCTTCGGCACAACATTGTACGAGCTATGAACAGTGCAAGCAGAAAGGACGAGCTCGCAAAGGAACCCAAGATGGAAGCTTTGCAGTTCGGTTGAGTTGATTGCGCAGATTCAGTTCTATCCAACTCGAAATTGTACTGTTTTGTTTGGTTAACTATAGTGTAGCAGGGAAGGCACTATAGGGGTACAATTTAGGTGAAGGTTGGATGTTGTTTGTCTGTATCTGCATGCTACAAGGCCAGGGGAAACCAGCGGAACCAGCATTTGGCTGGTTAGGCAAAGACAAAACAGGTTCTGTTTTTAGAACCTGAACCTGGTTGTTGTTTTCCCAGGTTGGAAAAACAGAACCAGAGGTTGTTTACCAACCTACCACCTGCTATTTTGTCCAGCCAGGTTGGTTCTGTTGCTTGGAATTATTTGGGATCATCCCTGGTTATTCCCAGGTTGATTCCCAAGGTCCTTGCTAGCTAGAACTATTTAATCCTTCTCTGTTTGCACCTGAATATAGTAAAAATTGATTCAAGCGAATTCCTTCCTCGCTGGAATTTCGTTTCTGCGCTATTCGACGGCGGAATGCTACCCGAGTCAACGCTAGTATGCTAGCACTCCAACGCTAGGCAAACGCTGTCCGAGCCATAACTTAGTAATGGCAGAACTTTTCGCGAGGCAACTTGGCTCATTTTAAAGCTCTTGGAGCGAGCTTCGATATAGCGAATTCTCAGCTTAATCCGATCGACGGTCTGCACGGCACGCTGCGCGACGTTCAAGGTACTCTTGCTGTTTTGACTAAGTCCTTCTTGATCCCTCTCTCTACAAACTCGGACCCGAGGATAGGGGCTGGTCTTGTACCAGGCACCCAGGGACCCTTGGAGGTGACCCCGAGGAGAGGTTTTAAGTTTGATTAAGTCCTAATAGCTTGAGTTTATTAGGCCCTTACACCAACAAGCTGGTATCAGAGCTGCGTTATAGTGATCCTCGTTATAGGTAGCTATGGCGGGCAACACCTCGGCGGGAGCTGGTGAATCTTCAGCCCAAGATCGTAGCGGCAGCCAAGATTCTGGTCTTTCAGCGCCAAGGGGAGCGCGAACAAACCAGGGCTCGCTTGTCAAGGAGGTGCTGAAGAATTTCACCGTCGAGAAGTTCAATGGTGAGGGCTATGATGATTGGGCCTGGAAAATGCAATTATATTTCCGTCAGATCGGTTTGCTGAAACTAATGATTGGGGAGGAGCCTAGACCGAGTGACCCCACGCTGCAGGAAGATTGGGACGAGCGCTCCTCGGCTGGCTACTATTTGATGTCGCAGAGTTTGGAGCTGAACCAGCGTCACCACGTCATGCACCTGCTGCCGGAGGTTGAATGCGGTCCGAAGGCGTGGACCGTGTTGAAGGAGCTGCACGCCCCGACCTCCGTTGTCGCAACGTTGATGCTGGAGAGGGAGCTGTCCGCGTTGCGCCTGAGCGAGGGAGAGCCGGTGCAACCAGTCCTGGACAAGATGCGCGACCTGTACGCGAAGTTGGCGACCGCGGGAATCACCTACCCGGAGCAGACCAAGTGCTTGAAGATGCTCTCGCTGCTGCCAGAATCGTGGCTTCAATTTACGAGCGGATTGAGCCTGCCGCAGAACCAGAGCTTGTGGATGCTCGAGTGGGTGCGGACGAAGATTCTGGAGGAGGACTTCCGTCGCCGCCAACTGAGGGGTGGAGACGACGGCAGCAGCGGCTACGGGATGCAAGGGAGCCGACGTGGCAGAGGACGTGGCTTCGGTGGTGCTGGACGCGGTGCAAAGAAAGACGACGACTCCAACGACCAACAAGGAGGTACCGGTTGGGGTCGCGGTGCGAAATCTGGACGTGGGGGCAAGTCGGGTGCTGGTGGCAAAATGAAAGGGAGTTGCTGGTATTGTGAGAAGGAAGGGCACCCCTGGTTTTTGTGCTATAAGAAACCCGATGGATGGACCCCCCAGAATCGTCACCAGGATGGCGGCGCGCGGAGGAACCAGAAAAACGGCGCCAACATGGTCGCTGATTCGTCCGACAACAACCCGAAGGGCAACGGCGGTGCGGAGAAGAAGAAGGAGCGCACCGCGGGCCAATTCTTCCATGTGGGAGACAAGGGGGAGCAAGGAGACGTCTCTGCAAAAGTTGGAGCAGAGCTGCACCCCCTAGACTATTGGGTGTTGGACACAGGCGCTGCTTGGACGATGACGCCGCGCAAGGACCTGCTGGACGAAGTACGAGCTGCACCGATCAATGAAGTGTGCTCCGCCTCTGGACACATGTTGAAGGTGGCTGGTGCGGGACGAGCTGCGTTTAAGGGAGCGGATGGCAAGCCGGTGGTGCTGCACGACGTTCTCTTCGTCCCCGACCTGAAGGCCAACCTTATCTCCCTCCGTAAGCTTGGCAAGGCTGGGGTGAACACCAACACGGATGGGGCACGCACTTATAAGGGGAAGCTGGGCAATCGGGTGCTTTGGGATCTGCACGAGAGCAAGGACGTGTACAGATCTATGTGGCAGCTGCCGGCCCTGGCGTGGCATGGTGGGGGGCAGGCTGGAGAGGGGTCTGCATCCCAGGGGGAGTGCAATGCCGTTGGAGGGGTTGGTGTGAAAGTGTCGGCCAGATCTGGGGAGACAGATTGGGCAACGGCACACCGGCGCTTAGGGCATGTGGCAATGCCTTTGCTGAAGCAGCTGGAGAAGGATGGAGCCGTTAAGGGTCTGAAGCTGAACGGACAGCCACCCGATTACAACTGTGAAATCTGTTTGCTTTCAAAGTTCACCCGTTTCCCTTTCCATAGTGTGGCTGGCAGGAGCAAGAAGCCTTTGGAGCTGGTCCACATGGACTTGGTGGGGCCGCTGCCGGTGCAAGGGCACAAGGGGGAGCGGTATTTTCTTACAATTGTGGATGACTGGAGCAGGCTGATGTGGGCGTATCCGCTGAAGCAGAAGGACCACGCCGCCTCCACGATACGGGACGATTGGCTGCCATTCGTGGAGAAGCAGGCGGAGTGTGTAGTGAAGCGGATTAGGACAGACCGGGGTGGTGAGTTTCTTGGAGCTGAAATGACGGCCTGGCTCAAGAAGCAGGGCATCCAGAGAGAGCTGACCACGGCTTATACCCCACAGTCCAATGGTGTAGCAGAACGGGCAAACCGGACCATTCTGGAGACAGCTAGGGCGCTGCTCATAGAATCTGGGCTGAGCAATTCTATGTGGCCTCATGCTGTCCGGCACGCCACTGTCGCTAGGAACAGGGTGCTCACCAAGGTTGGGGATGACTCGTGGGTGCCGTTGGAGAGGTGGCTTGGGAGGAAGCCGCCGGTGGACATGCTGAGGGTGTTCGGTTGCATGGCAGTCGCCCACGTCCCCAAGACCTACCGCAGTAAGTTGGGGGCGAGTGCAATCTGGTGTGTGCATTTGGGGCTGGCTGCTGAGAGCAAGGGATGGCTGCTGTGGGAACCATCCAAGGGTGTGTTGTTTGACAGCAGGGATGTGAAATTCATTGAGGGCATGATGTATGGGAGCTGGGAGAAACAGCCGGAGGCAAGGGTGTCCCAGCAGATGGAGCAGATCACCATGCAGCTGGACCTGACTCCTAGTGTGTGGGAGGAGGGAGAGGAGGCAGCTGCTGGAAATGGTGATGGAGAGAAGATACAGGAGGCATCTGCTGGTGGAGAAAAAGGTGTGGAAAGTGGCGGCAGCACTAGTGGAGCTGCTGGACCCGAGGGAGGAGAGAAGCAGCAGGGAAAAACTAAGAAGCCGAAGGGTGTCGTTATGAAGGGATGGGAGACACCCGTCTCCAGGCCAGGACGTACCCGTATGGCTACTAAGAAGCTGACTGCAGGAACTGATGCAGCAGAGCAGCAGCTAGGGACCGAAGAGGCATTGCTGATTCTACCTCATGGCTATGACCCGGATGAGGAGGATGAGCCTGCGTACTGTTTTCTTGCCCCTGCACCAGAGGAACCAGCTAGCATGGAGGAGGCATTAGC